TGTACCCAAAACAATAGATGAATCGAGTTTTACTGTTGAAACTATACTTGATGAAGATTTTCAGATTGAAGACCAGGTTGGATTATTGGGTGAGTTCAGTGTGTCAGACTATGAAAAGTTCTATAATGCATCAATCTCTGTAATCGAAAAGTCAAAGAACTTTGATAAGAATTTTGATGTGGAATTATTAACTGGTAAACAAGATTCGATCTTAGTTTTGCTGACAAATTGGATTAATACCATTTCCATGATGGAAATTGCTGGAAGAATGGACTTAGAATATAATAAAACCTTGCTTCATGGGAAACATCAAAAATATGAAACTTTAAAGAATATGTTAATATCGATATGTTTAATGACATTGACACTCGGGGCCCCAAATGATGAATTGACTCCATATTCCCCAGAAGGGCCTATATTACATCTACATGATCAAATGTTTCAATTTATTATAAGAGAAACATTATTTTCTGAAAATTCGCTAAGAGCCACAGTTACGACTACAGTCATAGCATACATTAATCAAATTGCTAATCACTTTATAGTTCAAGAAGATACAGCATGGTTGAATAGTACTATTGAAATTTTGAAGGCAAATGATGATTATCATGAACCTAGTAGTGAAATTATGAGTATTTTTGATGTTTTAAGACCATTTAGTGGAGAACATAGAGAGGATATTTTCTGCTTACTTTATAGTAAGATTCTAAAAAAGATATTGCCACTATTAAGGAAATGTTTAATAGCTTTGAAGGTATTTGATGATTTAACAAAAAAAGAACGAGTGGATTTTCTAGAGGTTGGAGGAGTAGATGTATTCGAAAACTGTGATATGAATAATTTGGTTGAATTTGTAGACAAATCCATAGATCTGTTAACAGAGCATGATTCTTTAGCAACTTTGTTAAAAGTTTGTTCGGTACATGAAATGGACGATACTCGACTGGAGAATAAATATTTAGAATTAATTCCATATGATTCTTGCTGTATGGCCAAACTTATTGATTTAGAACCATCACTGAACAATTATTTACTAAATACAATTGAAACTAAGCTGAAAGAAGAGGCTTCTCTTTTGGTCATTCCTGATACACATGAGAAATTTACACTGGATTATAAAGTATGTTTAACATGTCGTGCAAAGATAAACAAGAGAGTAGATAATAAGGAGCTTGTGACCCATCTAGACAATTACTGCTTTGAAGATTTTGGTCTTTTCTTAGAACCAAGCAGTTCAGAGATTACTCTAATTTTGAGAAAGCCATTTTCAAGAGTCAATATTCCAGCTCCATATTTGAATTCTCATGGTGAATTTGGTAAGGAGGCTATGTATATGGGTGAAACTTTAAAGTTAAATTTAAAGAGATATATTCACCTCAATAAGATATGGGTAAACAATGAATTACCAGGCTATATTAGTAGATTGATGGGAGAACAATTCAGCGTAAATTTGATGTCAGAAGGGATACTTTTTGCATTAAATAATAGATTGCAAAGAGGTGGATTCATGATTCCTGGGAATGAAGATGATGAAGATATTGATGACAATACCAATCCGCCAAATATATTACCTATGGGATTTGAAGGCATTCCTGGAGAATTTCTAACACCGGAAAATCCTGATGAGGAGCCATTTGGTGATAATATTGATAATGCAAGGTTTGCTACAACTTTGAATTTAACAGAAGGTAATACAGCTACTGAAGTGCTGACACAAATGTTTCAAAATTTTCAAAATGCAGTAGATAATGGGTTAAATCCAGCCAATCCAGACGAGGCCATGCCATTTTTAAGATTACTAGGAACAAACATACCAAGAGGTGATGCAAGAAGAAATCGGAGAAATAATGCTAATAATACTGACAACAATAATAACTATGGTGATGGAGAGTATACCGATGATGAATCCGATAATGATGACAGTGAACGTGATACCGTGTTATGGTAATTTGATAATTGAATAAAAGTTACAATTATAGTATAAATTCGGATAGACATGTGTTTTGTTAAGTGGTATAAATGAGTATAATGTCGTGTGAATTAATTAGACATAGCCACATAGAATCGAGATTAAATTTTTTTTTTCCAATCGACTACATTTCCTCCTCTTCTTAAAAATCGATAATCCCTCTCTATACATTAAAACTTTCATCTCTTCTTAGAAAATGTTTTAATATCCAATTCAATAATAAGAATAGTGTATATAGATAGATAGATAGTTTAAATCATATTATTACTATTTTAGGTATCGAAGAAATGAAGTTAAATCGTCAAGAGTAAGCTTCAACCTGTGATGGAAGGAAGGCACCCTATTACCTATGTTAAAAGAGGGATAATGCAAGGATTTTAAAGTAAAGTTAAGTGAGAGAGTTCAAAGGGATAACCTCAATTACTCCATTCATTGAGGAAGAGGTCGTGCCACGAACCGAACCGTTGTAGTGATAAGTTACGAATCATCCTCATCTGTTTTTCTGAAGGCAAGGAAAAAAACCTCACATTGGAAAATAAAGCAACAAGCTCTACTGGAACTTCAAGACATCTCAAGAAAAAAGTTTATCCAATTCCAATTGAGCGTAATACAAGTGGAATAAACTTCAAAATACTCACTTTGAAAATGTATAATCGTTGTAAACCAACCGATCTTTAAAATCATAGAAATGTTTCTTGAGTAAGTATGACGTAAACCTCTATCGCGAATGAATGAAATGTTGAGCTAATAGATAACATTTCCCGACAAAAACGTCCAGGAGACTTTTTACGAAGAATAGAGACATGCTTTTCTCATCTTGATTACAAGAGAGATTAAAAGGAGATGGGAAAGAGGAAGAGTTGATTGACCAATAAAATGGTAGAGTTGTACTAATCACTTTTAGGGATAAACTAGGATAGTCCCTTCCTCTCCGAGACCAGAGACACATGCAGACAAACACAATGGCGACAGGAATTTGTGCACCGAGATGAAGATAATCATGTGATTATCACGTTGTCTGTTGAGCCCTATTCATGATTTTATACGAACCATATAGTGTATAATCATCTGTGTTTCTCTAATTGTCTATTTGTTTGTAATGCTACAAGAATATATGATAAATGCATCACAGCACTTGCGAGAGATAATCAAAGTAACACTCCTTTCCTATCCATCATACAATACGGCTTACTATAAAATTCTCTTAAAAATTCTTTACTTTCTCTCTAACTAAACAGCTATATCTATCTCTTTTAGTCCATAACCAGAAAATATTTTATGAGAACCTACACTACAATAAGGAGTTAGGAAGCTACTTAATTCCACTTATGAATTTGTTGAAAACTGTTTCCTGTTTGCAAGTAAACGGGATCGAGATTAATTTAAAATTTTCATCAACTGCTTCCACACAGTTCATACATAATTTTGCATTAAAAAAAGAAACCTTTTGGTGTTATCTTGTGAACCTCCCCAGTAGCTTTTAAGTACAACAGAACATAAATTGAAAAATATCAAACTACAATTACACTTAAAGATTAGAATAAAAAAAAAAAATTTCTAATTTGATTCGAAACTGCTCTATTCTTGCATAGGAATATGTAGATAGTCTACTAAACAAGATACCGACGACTCTATACGGAGGGGGGGAGGGATGTTGAATAGTTTTCATTTTTCATTTTCCAATTAAATTAAGTTACGTTAAATTAGTTATATACTCTACTCCGTATATATGCAACTTTGAAGCAGTTTGTACCGATGAGCTTTTTGCTTGATTATTTTTAACAAAAAAACCCTCGAATAAGTGACAGAAACTGTAAACGGTATAGTGGCTTAATTGATGTATCTTATAGTTTAATCGATGCATAGATGGGATAAATTGTTTGTTAGATATCTGTTTGGGATTTGGATAATAGGGAGAGCAGCAGTTTGTGTGGTTCGCATTGAATTCTTTGTCTTGTTACCATTTTCATTGTAATAACTACTCTTATTGAAAGGAAAAAAAAAAGGTCCTCGACTGATTGGATGACTTATCTATGACAATAGAAATATATCTATATATTTATTCATATATATATATATATATAGGCATCGATGTTAACAATGGCTAAATTGTTAATATCAAATGCTTTTCAATCCTTTGCTCTTGACATTTTGCTTCAGTATAGCTTCATTTTGAAAGCAGTACCAGCAAGCTTCGTAGGAGGAATAAAATAATTGAGTAACTAAGTTCAAATTAAAGAGCTTGTCATTATATTAACACACTATAATCTAGTCTAAGAAATTTATATAATGTCAATTCAAACAAAATCCATTTCATTGATATCAAATATTGTAATCAATAGATATTTCGTAATTATAAGTGTAATGATGGGTTTATCATTCCTTCTAAATTATGCTTTTGAGGTTGCAGTAGAAACTTTCTATGAGCAACATCATATGGTTAAGCTTTTGGAAAAGGTGCAGCAAAAAGTTGTCATTGAAAATCAAGATATGGATATTGTATGATAATAACATTTAAAAAGAATAAATTAAATACATTGCTATTTCACATTGGTTTTATTTCCATGCTAACAAAATGCTGCATTAATAAATAATTGATTGTATGTGTAAGGCTGCTGAAGGCATGCTTCCGTCCAGCGACAGAATCTTAAGATATCCTCTCTATTCTGGTTAGTTATTTTAACATATTAATGTTACTAGATTGATAAGTTCTATTTTTTACATTTATGTGCCTATATGATATTGTTATGTGATAAATCAAGATTTCATTTCATTCCCTAATTTTACCTTAAGGTCTTGATTAACTAACGATAAAAACAGTTAAAACATATTTATTGTTTTACTATTAATAGATAATATATGGAAAATAATATTATATGTACGTATAAATATATATATATTATTTTTGCTTTAATAATTTAATTTATATCATAGTTTATATATATCATCGACTATTATTTCTAATACCTAAAAGTCTATTTACAAAAGATAATACGGTTACTTAGGCCGCTTTTCATAACTCATAAATAAATTAAATTTCCCCAGAAGTTGATGCTTGTTGAATTCTTGCAATGTATGCTTTGGAAACGATATTCCAACTTCTCATATATTTAGCTAAACATTGATCGATGCATGCTTCATTAGTATTGCTATATGGACTGGTTAAACATTTTTCAAAACAGTTTTCTGTAGTCTTATTAACCAACTCTGTAGCATTGGCAACAGCTAACTCTTGAGCAATTTGTTCCTTTAATTTGGCTGTTACGCTAGAAGAACCACTTGTCGATGGGATAGCTGTATTTTGTTGAGATGGAGAACCACCACCAAAAATTGAAGATAATGCCATTTAGTATTGAGAAGATATTTAATAAAAATATGGATTAGAGATGTCTCACTTTATATAAATTATTTACACAAAGCACTCTGTGCCTTTTAATTCATAGCTATTTTTTAAAGTGAAGAGAAGCTTAGATGGTTAAAGGTTCATTTTAAACCCAATCGAATCGCTTTGAAGCAATTGGAATATCTTCTGCTTCTTATTACATTAGTTCGTATATGATGATTGTTCGTGTTGACTTTGGCTATTGATGACAGGGGCACATGATTCTATTTGAAGAGGACTGATAAGGATGCCCGCTAATATATTAACGAATATAACTATTTAAACTATGGGTACACTTTAGTTCTTGAAAATTGGATTTGATTTATATCATATGTTGAATAAATATAATTATATATAGAGGTAGATCAATAAAGTAATTAGAAAACTTTGACTACTTAATTATCATTTTCCATAATTTATGTCGTTATCTTAATTATAATTGGAAATAAAAAAAGAAGTTACTTAAGTAGCAAACAGATTCTATCGCTAAAAAATTGCCATGATATTCATTTTTGACTATATTTCTTAACCTCATAAAAATTTAACTGATTGAGCAAGGTGAGCCAAGATTAAAATAAAGGATATGGGTGCTTAAACTCTTCAGCTTAAATTCTTGGATAATACTTATTTGCCTACAAAAGTCAAATCTTAATTAAAAAATTCACATATTGTTTAGGTTCAATTTTGGTTATTGTTAGTCTAGCAAAAAGGTAGTATTAAACTTTTTTTTTTTTTGGGGGGGGGGGGGGAGGAATATCTCTATTGGATAGAACAGAGAATTAAATCAATTCCTATAATAAGCAGGAATCCTTGTAGCAGCTAAACCTTCAGACCTATTTAAAAAATGACCATCGATTTTATAGTAAATTTCATCCTTATCAAGTTGTAGAGCCGATTCTAACGTGAATTCTGTTGTGACTCTGACAAATTCTTTCTCTAAACTAAGATGTTTAAAACAAAAGTTCTTCCAAAGTATTGAACACAAATAATTATTTATTTTAAATAGTATAATTTCATATTTTTATTAAAATATCGATAATGGTTTTTATTATTTCTTTTCAGCTATAATATTAAATTATATTTTTGGACCATTACCAATATACTGAATACTTGAGTGTGAGAGTGCAAGGAACTATTGGAATAGATGATTATTAATTATAAGATCGGGAAATCGAAGATTAGATATATAAATATGGACATAACTCTAGAGATAATTCAATTTCCTAGATTACATTTAATATTTTTATATATTTCTTTTATATTATGTATAGAAATCCCCACGGGTAAAATAAGGATAAATATGTCACCCAATAAAATTGATCAAAAATCACAAGAACTTATGAATAACGTGTTTTTAGTGATGCATAAATGCAGTAAAGCATTATTCTATTATAATCTCTTATGGTTCGTCATATTCATAGCAGTATGCTAGAGTCATATATAATAAGTTCGAGTACTTTAATTTTCGCCTGTATCTTGCCTTTGGACATATCAGGTCTGAACACCATCTTAATGTCAGAATGGTATAAGCTTAAAGCTTAATAAGAAGTAGATATTTGTTAAATAGGCATCTTTACCTATCACCGAGGTAAGTGAGTGGTATCTCGCTCTCTCTCTTGTAACAGAGTAGTGTATATTACATAAATAGTTGTACATATTGCAACTGAAAATTTGTCCCTTTTATATATGAGAAATCGATACATTCATCTTGTACGAATAACAGCAGTAGTGACATTAACTTTATCTTAGGGTATCCAGATTAAAGTCACAGCATTTAAAATTAGTAATTTAATCCTGTATATTATACTATAGAGAACCTTTTAAATGTATTGATTGGCCTGTTAATAATGCTTTTAATGTAGAGAATTATGTTGTGGTTTTTCTACCGAATCGTTCATAGTAATAGATTCTTTATTTATTTCCAAGGACATTCTTAATAAGTTGATATTGATCCAGTGTATTAAAGTATAAAATATACACATGGGAATATAGTACATATGATAAGTATCAATTAAGATCTCATCATTTCTTATATACAGTGTTGGAAAAGTTTTCAGCGTCAGTAATACTTTCGTGTAAAGTAACATTTCTTTATCCTATATGAATAATGTCGTAATACGTTTATATCACGTGTTACCTCATAATTCTGACAAGATCCTATATAATAAACGCTTATCAACCTTCATTCTAACGTATACCAAATTCAATATACAATTAAATAATAATTACAGGCCAAATAATACAAAAAAAAAGTTTTATGACTACTCTTTGACAGTACGTTGGAGAAGTTTTTCAAAAAAAACAACAAATAAAGTGGTTGTTTGGCCGAGCGGTCTAAGGCGCCTGATTCAAGTATTAAATTACTTAACTACTAAGTAGGAATACTCAGGTATCGTAAGATGCAAGAGTTCGAATCTCTTAGCAACCATTATTTTTTTGCCTCGAAAACACTTGGAAGTTCTATTTGTGTAATATTTTACGCGTTGTTTACATTGATAAAATGTAAACACATAAATATTTACGTGTTTGGCATCAACAAAAGCAAAGTCGGCTTGTCAATAGACATGTAGAGGTTCTTGTTTGCTTGTTTTATTAAAAGCAAGATTACTTTTTTTAATAATGCTTGTCATAACATATTCAACTAAGATCAATAGGAGTTATACGTAGTCTCCGCCCTATAGATCCTATTTTGTTGGTAACAATAAGATATTATCACATAGTAAATTCAGCTTTTTCTTGATGTTAGTAAACAAATATTACGTGAATGTATGTTAGTAAATAAAAGATTAAGTTTGTTTACGTATTTAGGTGAAGTATTATGGATTTCATAAAATTGGTATACTTTTCGTATATTACAAGACCAATCTCCTACAATAATTAAACGAGGAGCATAAAGGACTCGAATAGTTGACAAGAACGATATGTTTGGACATTGTTGGAAATCCAAAAACTAAAACTATAAAAACCAGACCATCAATCATCTTAATCACAACTTTAAGATCGATCTCTTTTCTTATATATAATAATTTTATGTAATATATTTCAATATAATACATACAGTAGAAATACATAAAAAAATATAAATTAATAACGACTATTAAAAAAATGATTCTAGCTAATTCATCAATTGTTCCAGAATCTCTAATCACTAACATCAATATTTCAGAGAAGAAATTTGCACAAGAAAATCACAATACTGAGAGGGATTTCCAGCTAGATCTTCAATTAAGTGAGGCTGCTCTCAGTCATAAGGCATTTATGATGAACCATAAAGTTCAGCGTCATAAATTAAAGGAAATGGAAAAAAATGAACCATTATTGAATGAAGACAAGAACAGGTTAATTATGCATCCAATTAGATATCCTGACATATATGAAGCATACAAAAAGGCAGAAGCATCCTTTTGGACAGCAGAAGAGATTGATTTATCCAAAGATCTCTCCGACTGGAATGATAAATTGAATTCTAATGAAAGATTTTTTATTTCTCGAGTTCTTGCATTTTTTGCAGCATCAGATGGTATCGTAAATGAAAACCTAACAGAAAACTTCTCTGTTGAAGTTAAGGTTCCTGAAGCAAGATGCTTTTATGGATTTCAAATAATGATTGAAAATATTCACTCTGAAACATATTCATTACTAATTGATACATATATTAAAGATCCTAAAGAAAGTGATTTTTTATTTAATGCAATTGACTACATTCCTCAAATAAAGGAAAAGGCGGAATGGGCATTGAGATGGATTAATAATGACGAAGCATTGTTTGGTGAACGTTTAGTCGCCTTTGCTTCAATTGAAGGTGTCTTCTTTTCGGGTTCATTTGCCTCAATCTTTTGGTTGAAGAAGAGAGGTTTAATGCCAGGTCTAACTTTTTCTAACGAGTTGATTTGTAGGGATGAAGGATTACATACTGACTTTGCTAGTTTATTGTTCTCACATTTAGATAATAAACCAGACCCTGCTATCGTCGAAAAAATTGTCACTGAAGCTGTTGAAATTGAAAAAAGATATTTTATTGATGCCTTGCCTGTAGCATTACTAGGTATGAATGCGAAATTAATGAATCAATATGTTGAGTTTGTTGCCGATAGATTGCTTGTATCATTTGGTAATGAAAAATATTATAAAGTAGAGAACCCATTTGATTTTATGGAAAATATATCCTTAGCTGGTAAAACAAACTTTTTTGAAAAAAGAGTTTCAGATTATCAAAAAGCTAGTGTCATAGCTAAGTCCAGTGAGAATAAAGTTGATGATGAAACATTTGCTGTCAATGAAGAATTTTGAAAACAGTAAAATGGAGCTTTCATTTCATTCTTTTGGTATAACTTAACTAATTCGAAAAAAAATTTATACACTTTAATAAAATATAATCAAAAACTTTAGAATTGATATTTTTAGAGTAACTCATTTTAGATATATTTAAATATTGTATTTTATTCGGACAATGTTTTAAACCATCATGTAGGGATAACCATTTCTGCTTTATTTAATATTATTTTAGCAAGCACTACGGAAGAGTACTAATTGTAAACATACGTAAAATATTGGTATATGATTACTATTATTTATATAGTGTAATTTCTGTATTATGTAATTGAATGTTTTAAAGTTTATCATTTGAGGATAATTTGTAAGCCAGTTTTTACAATATTTTTTTTAATACTTTTCTTCTCTTAGTTTATAGGGAGGTTAGAAATTGTTTGAAACTTTTACAAAACATAAAAAAGTAAACAAAACTAAAAATTTAATTAAGCTCAACCTTTATAAATTAAAATTGCTAGGGTATATTTGTCACATTTGAAATGATATTCAACATCTTTTTATATATTACACAATCGATATATTTTCATATTAATCTTACAACAATTTTGTGGGTTTACTCATAGATATCCTGAAGTTTTCTTGCATCGATACATCTCACTGAGCGGCAAAAATAATAAACTCATTTTGCATTAAATATTTAATTAATAAATAGAGAGAATGAATTATTTAAAAAGGGATATTTCGAGTATTACTAATTAAATATATCAATTTTTTCATTCATTAAAAAATAAATATTAAGAATATTAAACTATGTAAAGATCTCAATAAAATATAAAAAATATTTTTGACATGAGTAACTTTTTCACATTTAATGATAAAGTTGCTCCTTTAGCTCTAGACTTGAAATCAAAATAGAGAGAAGTTAAAACCTAACAGTAAAACACAATAATGAATGAATCAACCAGGCAACAGAAACTGAAACCAATTAATTAATCAAAAGACAAAACAGAATATAAACTAAAGAAATAAAAAGCACAATTAAAAAAAACGAGTGACATTACTTTGACTTTTTATTAGGACAATTTTTGATAAATTTTTTTAAACAAACAATTATTGGCATCAGTAATCTAAATGATAAGATTTATTTTCTGGTACGAATCCTTCTGATTCATTCTGACCATATTGATTTTCAGGTAGTGAAGGAGCGCTATGAATATTTGTACCCATTTGGCCCATTGGAATAGGTGGACTCATCATTGAACCTGTAGGAGGTGGAGGTGGTATAGGGTATAACATCATGTATGGATGATTTCCAGCAGAGGCTTGAGGTGGAATACCTGGATTCATAGGACCAAGTGGGTAATGCATTGGGTGGTAGTAATAAGGTTGGAAATAGTAAGGCTTTAATGGTTCATTATAATTAACATTATTACGTTTGTAATATTTCTTTCTATTAGAGGAATTACTACCCTTACTATTGTTTCCATTATTATTAGACAAATTATTATTAATTACGTTAGTATTTGGATTTGAATTACTATTATTATTACCACCGTTATTAATATTAATATTATTATTACTCAAACTGCCAGCAGATGAATGATTATATGTTGTGTTTGAACCTGATTGACCTGCAGACTCAGATATCTCTGATGTAACATCAGTTGTTGTCGTAGTGGTGGTATTTGTTGGATTGATATCATTTTCAGATTTATAGGTATAATTTCTTGTTGAACTCCAACCTGTTGGTAACGATTTTCTATTGTATGAATAAGAATTCTTTATATAAGGCAAATAAGGGTTGATTTCAAACTCTGATAAGCCTGGAATAGGAGGAGGTGGTAAATAAGTCAACATTGGGTCATTTTCAATTGGAGATCTTCTTCTAAACATATTAATTGGGGGAGGGGCTAAGTTAAATTGAGGACCAGTATATTGCTTAGAATTGCTATCGTTGAAATAATTCGAAGATCTTCTATAATTTCTTCTACCATGTAAACCACCAATTTCTTTATATTGAACATGCATTGTTTTATTTAAGAAAATAGCATGATTCTCCCTTTCTAATGCAGCAGCAGCAGCTTCTTCTGTTTCGTATTGAATAAATGCAAACACATTTGTTGGTTTAACAATCAAGTTTATATCAACAATTTCACCATGAGCTGAGAATCTTTCTCTTAAGGTTTCTTTAGTAGTCGCAGGGTCCAATTGTCCAACGAAGATTGATTTTTTATCAATAGTAATTATAGAGTCATCGTCACTTTCTTCTTCATCGTCTTCTAGATGATCTTGATGTTCTTCATCTTCATCATCTTCCTCGTCATCATCATCATCATCATCATCATCTTCATCTTCATCTTCGTCATCTTCATTATCATTCTCCTCATGGTCTTGCTGATCTTCATTTTCTGCGATGTTATTTCCACTTTTCTCAATACTTTGAGTCTCAATGACGTTATTTTCGTTTGTGGTGTCTGAATCAGCATCAGTAATTTGTTCAGACTCAGAGTTTGAATTATAGTTCAAATTATGTTGGTTTTGGACAGGATAGGTATTTGATAATCTTTTAATATCCTTTTTAGATGAAGAATCAATATCTTTATTCAAATCATCAGAATTTTTAAAAATAGAATTATTGTCTATTTCAGATTGATTTTCTTTTTTAATTTGTAACAATAAATTATAACGTTTTGATACTTTAATATTTTGAACCCATTCAACATCCCAATTTGCATCAGTTCTTAAATTTGCGAATGCTCTAATAGCATCATCTCTGTATGCAAATTGAACAAACCAAGAATTACCAGAGGCTATTGGATAACAATATCTTTTAACATATTGGTTATTTTCTCTATTTGGTACCAATAATTCTAATTCACCGAATTTTTCGCACATTTTAGCTACATCAACATAAGATATAGGCAAACTGTGGGTTACAAATAGGGTTCTATTAACTTTTGCAGGTTCACAACGCAAAATTCTACCATTCAAAATCGAGCCCTGTGCCTTTTTCAAAGCTTTCTTTGCATCCTTATCATTAGTATATTGAACAAAGGCATATGGTCTATTAGCTGGATCTCTTAAGACTTTAACTCTTGCTAAGTTACCGTACTGTTTAAAATTTTCAGTGACAGAGACACATAGTTCATCATCTGACAAAGAAGCAGCTAAACTTGCTACGAAAACACAAGAAGAAGGTCTTCCACGGAAACTAACTGTGGAATTAGTGATATTGATATTGGTATCTACAGTAGTATTACCTTCTTCAATATTTGTTTCCTCTAAATTTTCCTTGTTATCATGATCATTTCCCTTGTTGTCGTTATCTTTTGAGTCATCAATACTTTTATCATTTGAGGCATCTGAATTTATTGTTGACGCATCGTTTGTATCACTATTTTCGTTAATTTGAGAAGTTGATAAAGATTTTGTTGTTGAATTATTTTTAACTTCTAAATGCATGTTATTGTTATTATTAATTGTATTATCTTGAACTACTGTCATTTTTGATTTATTATTTCTTGTCTTTATAATAATAATAATAATAATAATAATAGTAATAATAATAAATGTTTATGAATACACTAGACAGATGGGTAAAATTTGAATAAGTTTTCGTAATTATATTATATTTGGAATTAATTTTTTAAACGTACACTAATATTTTTTTTAAGTTTCTTTGATTCTAAAAAAAATAATAAAAAAATGAACAATAGGTTAAACTTTAGTCAAGTTCCAATGTAAAGCAGTTCTTAATAAATAAAATGGATTAGATGAAAAACTTCTGCAGTGAATGGGGATAATGTAAAATTTTTTAAATTTGGACAGTAAATAATATAATGCTTGATAATTTATACTAGGAAGAAAGAAAATAGCACTTTTTTTTAAAGAAAATTTCCTTTATTGTTTTTATTATGATGAAAATTCTTGTTGTTATTATCTATTATCTCAGTCTTCTTTTTAATTTAATTTAATTTAGTATATTATTATATAATTACCTCCTTCTTCCTTTTCCTCTTCCTCTTCTTCTTCTTCGGCTTTTCGTTTCTTTTTTATTAGCCGCCTAAATGTATATGGAGATATAATATCGAGCTGGGGAAGTGAGGAACGAAGGTAAAAAAAGCGTTAGGTATATATAACTGATCTTAAAGGGTACAAAAATTAAAACAAAAAAAAAAATTAAAAAAACAAAGCAGTAGGATTGAGTGATATATTTATATTTCTTTTTTTATTGAGAGGGGGAGGGGGAAGGATGGGAGTTGCAGAAATGGTATGATAGGATTGTGAAATATTAAAAAAACAAATATATGTATATATATATATATACCGTGTAAGTTAAGTTGATATAACTATGAGATAACTGTACGAAACCGAAGTAAATGATAGACAGAACAACGATTTATAACAAAGTAAGTGCTAATATATATGACAATAATAATAATAATATGATTAAAAATAACAGACTGATTGAGGAGCAATAGAGGAAATATAATCTTAAAAGAGAATTTAAAGGGAATTCCAAATTTTAGAAGGAGATCTAAGGAAGAAGAACATAATTACGAAAGCGAGAGAGAACCACAAACGGGAACAGAGAAACGAACATATAAACTAAATTGAAAAAGATATGAACAACTAAATCAAAATCTAAACCAACATGAAAGATAGAAACGAAACAATTTGTGGTATCGATCTCCTTATATACCTCACAAAAATATAATTTTTAAAAGGTTTGAAAATTGGACAGAAATACAAAATAAGTTTCTTTAGAATACAAGATTAAGAAGAAGAAGAAGCCACAAAAACCAAACAAACAAGAAAACCACAGAAAGGGAGACAAATGAAATCAGAGAGTATGAAACTAGAAACAAAAAATAATAAAATAAGGGTTGGGTAAAATAAAATAAAATAAAATAAAATAAAATAAAATAAAATGAAATAAAAAAGTTTAAACAACAATTGCAACCTCCAAAAATAGGATGAGATAGACAGAAAGACAGACAGACAGACAGCGGAAAATGAAAATGAGATCCGATCAAAGTAATGAATATCATTCAATAAGTCTTTTTCTTTCAAAAAAATAAAATAAAATTGAACCCCAAAGAATCTAGATAAATCTTGTAGTAGCATCGATAAATCAATACCTCAAATTAATTATTCCGTAGTTAGTGGTTTCTTGTTATTTCTTTAGATACCATAAACTTCATAGATATATCAGAATACAATACGCACCTATTTTCCCCCTTCCTGTCCTCAAAGTGAACATCAGAAAGAAGAACAAGAACAAGAACAGGAAGAGGTGAAATTACGAACCTCTAACTAATTTTATTACTCCAATTTTTATTTCTATGCTATGCTATGCTATGCTATGCTATGCTATATTTGCTATGTATCTCTCCCTCTTCATTTTTTACCACAACGATTGGTTGTCTCCCAACCAACGTTGTTTTTTCTCTTGTTCCTTTCCTTTTATTACAAATCATGTCGTCATTAATATGTGCTTGTTCCTAAAATATCTGTGTGCCGTTGTTCTTCTTGTCGTTGCTATTAGTGCTGATTATCCGGGCAACCATCTTAACCCTGGTTATTTATATCTAGCTACTACTGCCAGTACTTCTTCTTCTAGCGATAAATAATATTAATTGGTATTTCTCTCTCTTGAGTGAAGAGTACCAATTTCAATTCCAAAATCTCCAATTCAGGTCTACATCAATAATTCTGGTTGGTTATACAGTTATTCACATATTTTTTTTTTATTAATTGATTCTATTGAATTCAGAAATGATTCACTGATTATCATCCACAAAAATGAACGACGAAAACGAGAACAACAAAAGAAGACAAGATAATCTACCGTAGCTCTCTCCCTCTTATCAGGAATAGTGATTAACCACCACTTATTCCCGGGTTATCCCTAATTATATTCAATTTATTTTTTGTTACTCCACTTCCCGCCAATCTCTCTTCATTATTTCAATCCCTCTCCTATTGTTACTCTAATCCTTTACTCTGAAAAGGAACAATTTTTATTTTCACACCTATATCTCTCCGTCTAGCCGCTGTCCTTGCGCTCCCCTGTTTCCCCTTCTAGTCAGTGCTGGCACGGAAACAGTAACAACGGGAAAATCATTTTGCCTATTACAGTAATAACCAATCACTTATCCTAATTGTATCACAAACAATGGAGAGAATCCGGCCGAAAACTGCACTTTTTTCTCGTATTAAATCCTCGCCGTACCATTTGTTTCCCTTAGTTTATATCATACTCGTTTCACATGCTGCACACACATACATGCATACACTCACAATTATGTCTCTCTTTGTCCCAGTTTCCCCCCCTCTACCCAATTATTTTTGCTATGAATATTCATAAACAGCACTAGAACAACAGACTAAGAGAAAAACCCTTGGTCCAACCTCAGTTAAATCTCATGTAACTAAATTAAGTGTGACAGTAATATGCAATAGGTAAATCTCTAACCATTTTTTTTTTGTTCTTGTCTTTATCCCCCACCCCTGCAGAAACAATTTTGTACGCCCAAGATATACAACGGTAATAAACCATTAAATAACTACCATCTTCGTACCCCTCTTATGTCCTCATTAAACGATTAACACAAAGAGTCATTCATAACTGTACGCTGTTTACCTACTTCTCTGATTTTCTATTTTTGATTACGCTACACCAATATGAAATATAAACACAAAAAGTCGTGGCACAGACAGACACTTTTCTAATTTTTTATGCAAATCTATTAATACTTACTTAATTTGTTCACGTACGTACATACAACATTCATGCACATTGGATATTCTAAAGATAACAAGACATCATTAATAATAAACGTGATACTAATTATAAGTGTTAGGGCAATTGAAATTACCAAAGGAGGGTGGTTTAGAAATTTAGTCGTATTAATACCCAATTCGGTATTTATAAATAGTTCTTTTACATAAATACATTAATACATAAATACATAAACAATTTATGATGCAATTGATATTCCTTCCTTAATCTTTCCAAACATAAATAACATTACACAACATAAACATAATGGATTCTTTTTTAAATATAAATAAATCTATTAAAACTAAAATCAACATATATCTCCAAATATATAAATAGATGCATAGTTCGAGGGGGTAGATGGAAGTGAAGTGAAGTGAAGTGAAGTTTAGTGAAGAAATGTGAAAAAACATATCTCTTGTGCCAAGTAATTGGATATTTTCACCTAATCAAGTTCAGTTGGACCCAGTAAATCTTCATCTTCATCTTCATCGAAATCAATATCCATATTATCTTGACCATCGACAATTGTTGCTTCATGGTTAGGCAATACTTCTAGGTATTCTTGTGCTTCATCTTCGTCGCTATTGGCTTTATTTTTACGACTCTTTAGTACAACTCTAACTTCTTCTTTGTCTTTAATTTCATTTCTTAAAATTCTAATTGCCATCCTGTTCAAAATTTCATTCTGAATTAATCTATTTAATGGACGTGCACCCATATCATCAGAATAACCATACTTTGTTAAATATTCTTTAGCTTCTTCGCTAACATTCAATTTATAATGCTTATCATTGGCTTCAAATCTTTGTTCAATTTCTTTTAGACGAATGTCAACAATCTTATGGATAGCCTTCCTTGATAACTTATTAAAGACTACTATACCTGAAATTCTGTTCAAAAATTCTGGTCTGAAATGTTGCTTGACTGCCGCTAATACCAAACCTTTCGTAGCTTCTTGTACTTTAGATCCAGGTTGTTGTTGTAAGTATTGTGCACCTAAATTAGATGTCATAATAATAATAGTATTGGAGCAGTCAATGGTCTTACCTTGACCACTGGTGATTCTACCATCATCTAACATTTGTAACATGACTGTTAAAACATCAGGGTGAGCCTTTTCAACTTCGTCAAACAAAACAACAGAATATGGTTTATATTTCAATTGGTTTGTTAAGAACCCACCTTCTTCAAAACCGACATAACCAGCGGTGGTACCTAATAACTTGGAAACTGAGTGCTTTTCACTTAATTCTGAACAATCAACTCTAATGATCATATCTTCATCATTGAACAAAAATCCTGCAATCTTCTTTGCCAACTCAGTCTTACCAGAACCTGATAAACCAAGGAACAAAAATGATGCAGGTTGTCTTGGATTAGCTAGACCTGATCTGCTCAACCTTACAGCATTGGAAACCGCCTTAACAGCTTCCATTTGACCAACTACTTCTTGAGATAAGTCCCTTTCCATATGAATCAATTTTTCATTTTCTGATTCAGTCAACTTCTTAACTGGAATACCAGTCAACCTTGCAGCAGTTTCGGCAACAGTATCAGTATCAACAACGTTTTGAACCATAGAATCGGAACCGGCTCTCTTTTGTTCTTCAGCTACTTGTTGTTCCAATTCTTCAATATGCTTCAAAATATCTGGAATAGCAAAGTATCTTAAATCAGCAACGGTTGCAGTATCGTTTCTACGTTCCGCATCCAATGCTTTAGTTTCTAATTCTTCTAATTTCTTCTTTGCTTGTGTCAATTCTTCATGACCCTTTCTTTCCTCTTCATAACGTTGTCTCAATGGTTCTAATTCTTCAATCAATGAAGCTTCTCTCTTTTTAGCTTGCTTCAATCTATCCTTTGTAGAGGCATCAGCATCCTTGTCTCTTTCCAAGGCTTGTATTTCAACTTGTAGCAATTGTAATTGACGTTCTTTAGAATCTAATTCCTCAGGTTTCGAGTCTCTAGCAACTGCAACACCGGCACAAGAGATATCGACTAAATCTAATGCAGAATCTGGTAATCTTCTGTATGGCAGATATCTCTTTGCTAATTGTGCGGCAGTAACCAATGCACTATCTAGGATTCTAACACCGTGATGAATTTCATACTTTTGTTGTAAACCTCTTAGAATTGCAACTGTTTGTCTAACGGTTGGTTCGCAAACATCTATCTTTTGGAATCTTCTTTCAAATGCACCATCTTTTTCAACAATGGATCTATATTCGTTGTTTGTAGTAGCACCAATGACTTTTAAACCACCTCTTGACAAAGCTGGCTTCAAAATATTAGCGGCGTCATCTTTACCGTTACCCATCAACATATGAATTTCATCGATAAATAATACGATTAACGTCTTTGAATCCTCAATTTCTTTTAAAACACCTTTCAATCTTTCTTCAAAATCACCTTTATATTTTGCACCGGCAGTTAAGGCAGCTAAATCCAAACTGAATAATTTAGAACCTTGTAAAATTCTTGGGACATCGTCATCGATAATTCTTTGAGCGACACCTTCTATAATAGCAGTTTTACCAATACCAGGTTCACCAATTAAGCAGGGATTAGATTTAATTCTCCTTGCCAATACTCTAATACAACTTCTAATTTCTTCTTCTCTGCCGATAACAGGGTCTAATTTACCTGCTCTAGCTTCTTCAGTCATATCAATTGCATATTTTGTTAGATATTCCAGTGGAGTAGAAGTGTCTGCACCACGGGAATCAATTCTTTGATTACCTCTTAATTCCAAAGCCTGTTGCTTAATAGCTTCGAGGTCAATTTGAGCTTCTTTAAATATGGTTTTAATTGAGGAATCGTTAAATAATGCAAATAGTAAATGATCTTGAGCAATGAAGGAATCCTTTTGTTGTTTTTGTATTTTAGCAGCATCTTGTAAAACTTGACCTAGTGCATAACTTGGTGTTATTTGTTGTGGAGCAGGGTGTTGTTGTGGTATACGCACCAAAGATTTATTTACAATTTTAGTGAAAGCACCATAATCGTAACGAGCTTTTTCAATTAAATTTTGTAAATATGGAATTGAACCATCTGGCTGAGTTTCAATGAAAGCAGCTAATATATGAATTGGTTGTAATTGTGGATGTTGATGATCTTGGGCTAGTTTTTGAGCAATTGTTAAAATATTCAAAGCTCTTTCTGTGAATTGAGTTTCGTCATTCATTTTTCTAGTTTGTGTATCTTTCTTTTTATTGTTTCTATACCAATAGAATGTATTATTAAAATAACTGTAATATCTTTTGATAACGAGTTAATATTCTATACTTTTTTTGTTTGTTCTTATATACTATTAAATAAGTAATAATTAATTGAATTAAAAATATATTAGACACAAGAAAAGGTAATTAATTAATCAACTGAATAAATTGTCATTTAATTTGAAATTATTATCCCTTATATATGTATATGTACATATATATATATATATATATATATATCTGATTTAGCAAGTTAAATAAGGTGATGTATAGTACAACTCTTTATTATTACGATTTCTGCATAACCTCAAAAATTCAACATGAAATCCCCTTCGTACGTTGAATTTTTCTTTTCTTCTAGCAAATTCTAGAATAATCCATAACGTACGCTTACTTTCTACACCCTTCTCTTGGCTTCTTTTGCACTCATCTTCTCTCCACTCCCCCGCAAGCACAATCATACACATATATCTCTCCATCTCTCTCTCTCTCTCTTTATCACCACCCAATCAATCAATGGATCAGAAAGTCTGTCAGTCAACTTAAGTCATTGTCTATCCTATCCTATCCTATCCTATCCCATCATCACCTTACCTCTATTTCAATAGTTTCATACCAAACTTTCGAATGCTCTCTTCTTTTTACTTGATCTTGTCGTACTTGCCATTTTTATTACTCTGTGCATGCAAGTGAAGAATAGCAGTGCTGTTGCGTTAAATTATTTCTTTTTTCTTTTTCTCTCTCTTTTTTCTTTTTCTTTGCGAAATTCAACTGAATCGAATCGAATCGAATTTTTATTTTTTATTTTTTGTGGTCGTCTCTCGCCATCCTTATTTTTTTTGCTTTCACATTTCGGTTTCTGAAACTAGTAGAAACTGCTGGAAACTACTGGAGATAAATATTCATGATTAAATTATTGTTAGCGGGAAATTTCGAACTTCAAACTTCGAACTGTGATCGAGTTTATATGATTAATCGTAATGACTCTGGGGCAAGGCAGAAATAGAGAGAGGTATTATATTTTTAAGTCAAGGAGATGATGATTGCAAAATTTAGTTTTTAATTGGTCGTTTTTGATCAATTTGGTTGCATTCTGTAACTAGGAGTCCAGATTTCGTTTAGTGTCTGGAGGAATAGCGGGAAAGGAGGAAGGAAATGGGGTAGTCGACGCAACCACAGGAGCATGGAATAGGCACAGTTCAATAGATTAGAGATTATATACGTGCGTCTCCCCTTTCCCTTTATTTGTTGGTTTTAATCTTGAAATATATAATAATAATAATAATAATAATAATAATAATAATAATAATAATAATAATAATAATAATAATAATAGTGAAAATAATAGTAATAGTGAAAATTAAATTAATAATATATATGCCTAAAAAATAAAAGATTGGGAGATTTAATATATATAAATATCCTAATATATGAAAGGAATGACGTGATTGAAATTAATTAATTAATTGACTAAAGTTGGGTATGATATAATAATTATAATGAAGTTTATAATATAAGGATGAAGCCTCTTTCTCTATACTTGGGACTCTTCCGTATTGTAAAAAAATGTTTTTTTTTCTTTCTTTCTTTGAAAAAAAGTGTAATAAAGTAAATTAAAATGTAATAGTTCCTTTTAATCCCCCAATTCTATAAGTGGTGTGATATGATGGATATAGTTCTTGTTTTCTCAAACATAAATAATTATTACAATTACAATGTACCAATAAAGGTATATCTAACCGGAATAAGCAAACTTAGATTTTTGTCTAATTGCCTTACCGTATTTTAGTAATAGCAATGGAACTGGTATCATTGCTGCTGCAAATAACCCTAAAACTAAACCGGCCCAACCTGTACCCATGTTATGGAACATGTAACCGGCAAATAATGGGAAAACTGCACCAAACATAGATCTCATAAATGTATTAGCTGCAACAGCTGAAGCAGCTAAAAACAAATAGGATTCAATAATGTAGTTCAAACATGGCAAGAAAATACCCATTAAACCAAAACCAATAAATGAACCAGCAATTGTTGGAACAATCCAATGAATTTTGTGAGGATAGTAACCTGTCCAACAGAACCATAGAATACCAATTGGGAAAACTACACCTGCAACAATCATTGGATATAATCTTGCTTCAGGTACCAAACCACCTGCTTTTCTAACTCTGGACAAATAGAATGCATCCATCTTCCAAATGAAAACAGTACAGATCATAATACCAACAATCAAAGCGATATATGGCAATTCACCATTGACTCTCAAACCGTAACCTTCGACAAAGACAATTGGATAAGCTTCTAATAACAGATATAGAATACCGTAGACAAAAGAATTGTAAATAGTAATAATCAATAAGATCGGTTCACGGAATAACATCACAATTGGTCTAGTGACAGTTTTTTGAACAATATCCTTAACAGATAATTCAACACTTTCATGAGCGGCATGAATACCCCAGTTGTTTGTAGCTTTTCTCATTTGTTTAGCTTTGTTAACTAAAATAGAAGGATGATGGGTTTCTTCCATAAAAAAGAGTAATGCAACAAAAATTGCAGCGGAGAAACAACCAATAACGTATTCTAACCATCTCCAAGTAGTATGTTGAACGATATATGAACCCATAACAGGACCCAAAATTGGACCTACAAACACACCTAAGGAAAACAATGCAATAGCTTTACCTCTCATATTTGTATCGAACATATCAGCAAAACAGGCAGGGACGACTGCCATAGGAGCTGCACCAATTAGACCACCAAAAAATCTACAAATCATAATACTTTGGAAATCCTTTGAAACAGCGACAGCAAATTGAAAGACCGAGAAACCGAATGCAGATAGAATGATGACACCTTTTCTACCGTATAATTCTGATAATGGTGCATAAATAATCGGAGATGCAGCGAAACCTAAAACATATAAAGTAATACCTAAAACAGAAACGACAGTAATAACATGAAATTCTTCATTTAATTGAAGGACACCCGAACCAAAAATAGAAGAACCCATAGTAATGGCAATACAATCAAGACATAAAACTGTACAAAGGAATACCTTTTTCGTAGTAGTCCAGTTAAATGGATGTAAAGGATCATCCGGACCATCGAATGTAACTTGAAATTGATCTCTATCTGGTAATCCAGGCGGATAAGGTCTACCACCACCCATTGGCAATGCATGAGAATAATCAATATGAGTTTCATCTCTTAAAGCTTCACCTTCAGTGTCACCTGTACCTGTTAAAATACGTGATAGCCTTCTATTAATTTCTGGACCTGATTCACTGGCAGATGTTAAAGTATCAATTTTTTCTAGTTTTATGCCACTAGCAGCACCATCCATTGATAATGAGGATGGAAATACATCATTAATTTCTACTGGTTCTTGTACTGATAAACTTGAACTAGATCCAGTATCTGTAGCAGTATCTGTAGCAGTCTCTTTGCCAGATACTTCCCTACTCAAACTCATAATTTATATTTGTCCTAAAATGTCTTAACAATATAAGCTGAACAATAAAACGCTTTCTTTTTTTTGTCCTAGATATTAACCCCTTCCAAAATTTGTCCTATAATTCAGATAATACGAATTGAACTATTAAAATTAAAATGTATGCAGGTGCTCAATCGAAATGATAAACTGAATGAAATGGATCAACTAATTCCTTGTGTGTATCAATTCACAGATGTCAAGCAAGGTGTTTGATTTTATATAGTCTCAAAGAGATTTTTAAAGAAAGAATTAAAAATGAAGACCTTCTAATTGAAACAAGTGTTTAATGAATCTTAAGTTTAAGGTAAAAACTGAAAAGAACAAAAATATCATCAAGACAGAATAAGTTAATTCAAGTTAAAACTTCAATTATACATATTCACTTTATATATATATATATATTCATATAACCAGATGAATTGAGCTTTATATAGATGGGTATATATAATAAAGTGAATATACTAAAATAGTAATAATTCGATGAGTAAGCAATTCAAAATCAATATCATCTCCGACATTTTTTTTCAATTTACAGTATTAATTAGTATAAATAACATAACAATAACAATAACAATAACAATAACAAGAACAAGAACAATAACAATGAAATGGAAGCAATTTTGTTCAGTATTTTGATATTACAGGGAAATAACTGATTTATGCTACATTGCACTGCAACAAATTATAAGATCAGGTCCAGTTTAAGCCTGTCTTCTCCAACCCCCTTCGCACCAACTTCAAAGAAATAAGGAAGCATATCATGAATTTAGAGCATCCCACGGAATGACAAACTATATTTGTATGTAATTAGTTATACAATATTATATATCGAAAACAGGTAATCAATATAGTTAACAGTTATGCAACTTGGATAATAAGAAGGAAGGTTCCATTATGAATATTACCGTTTCTACGAGCGATAACATATATAATATTTTTTCTTTTTTTTTTTGTGCTTTAGGGAAGAGACAAATATTTACTGCCCGATGACATACAGTGATATCGATGATCTCTATCAATCAATTAAATCCAATCTTTCCATTGAAGAATCCAAATAATAATTGCACCAATGTATTTCAGAATACACACATAATGATACAACCAACTGAGCACAAACTCTCTGAAGTTAGTGAAACCCAAACGAACATCATCTCATCTCTTGCGGAATAACCGTGAAGTGTAATTTTCTTTTTTAAAATTTCCAGTTTTTCACTACCCAGATGAAAGCAAAAATCAAAAAAGTTTTTTTTAAAATAAAACAGTGCTTTTGATCCAGTTAAGAACCGGAGAATAATACATTTTCAACATCAGTTGTTTATTCAATTCCCTAAATGGGCATTAATGCAACCTAAATGTCACTGCTGCAACTAATAGAAATGTATCGTTTCCATCCTTCTCAGTCAGGAAGCCAATGGCAAAAGCAAATATTGTGAACCTAAAGTACCCATTAGTAACAAGAACAAAGCCAAACAAGAGAGAGAAATACTAAGAGTGAAGAGGAAAGACAGAGACGATACAGGGAGCATCGACTCCATTTATAGTTACTGGTTTGTTCGATGTAAAGAATTGTAGCAACGCTTTGAACTTAAACCCAGGCTTCAAAGCTCGGCCGAATAAAATGGGGGAGAGAGAGAAAGGTAGAGTAGGTTTGATAAAAAAAACTAAATAAAATAAAATGGTATAGTTCGATTCGGAAATGGAAAGTAAGAACAGATTGCATTAAACTAGCTGTAGTATGATTAATTATTTAGTTTAATGAAAAATCAGTTCAGATTAGTGAGAAGAAATAGGTAGTTTGCGTTGCGTTTAAGGGCAAAGTTGCTAAAAAAAATCTATTGGGCTTTATTATACCTCGTAGCCATTCGGCTGCAATGCAATGACCTAGAAAGTTTTATTTTATTGTGATTATTACCTGAGATTTATGCCTTGTCAGTTGCTTATTTATATCTTGGGGGAAAGAAATCTAAGACACACAGGTTATACTGCATTTAGATTTGGATATGTGCTGTAGCTGTTTACAACCAGTTATCAGGTTATTTCTCTACTACTAAATCATTACATTCCGTGGATGATATTATATTAGCTTACTCTTCTCTCTCATAGATACGTATTAAAGTACTCACATAACTAATGGTTATATGAGTTAGCAATGGTTAATCAATATCTGGTTAAGTACATAAACCAAGTATCAGATTTTATATATCAAACTCATAAACGTAGTAGTTCAACATGAGCGGATGGAATCAATTACACATTGTAACCTTTTTCTTATAATAGTTCCAACTATACTTTTTTGTATCTTTTAAAAAGCTGATTTGAAATGCATCTGCCTACCCTTTGTAAAATTGATTATCGTACAGTGTCTGATGCTATCAATTGCAACTCTATTCGACTGTATCAAACATATATTCTGATTCAATAATTGTTTTGACTAAAGAGTAAGATGGATCATTTTGCTGCTTTTTTGTATCTTTCCCAGTCGAACTCTCTTATGTGTGGGATATTTTCGGCCCGTTCCGGTTACTCCCGGAAGACATCAATACGCTAACTAGTAAGAATATATACCAGTATCTCCTAGTTACAGAAACAGTCAATTTTTTTTGCAGTAGGAATCTAAGCTGCCTGAGATATTTGATAGTGGATTATACTTGGACGTATCTTTGTAGTATAAAAAGGACTTGAACCAGTGAATGTAGGGCAGTAGAATAAGGTTATAGAACATCGACAATTAGAACAAAAACAGAATAAGAATTTGGAGTTCCACGGAACTAAAACAAAAATAATCATCATTAACAATATAGGTAATTGCTAAATTACATTTGCCCATTGGGACAGCGATGTGTCGTTACTTGTGCGGTTCCACTCTTCTCTTCTCACTGCATGGTTTCTTTATTACTTTGTGTATTCCGTTAGAAATTACATTCTGTTATTTGTTGTTAAGAGAGTATGCTAAATGTTGTTCTTGCCATCCTTAAACAAATCAAACAGTGTCGAAAGAAGTAAAAAGGAAGAGCCTTTTCCCCTTGTATTCGTCCGATCATCTGAAGTTTTCAATTAACGATATACACAATGGTTTTAATCGATTTTGTTAAAAAATTTCCATATTTTCTATATTTTAGCGATTTCTACGTTTTCTTATTTTCTCATAGACAAAAAAAATAATTGTATAGTGTCATTTAAGCTCATCGGCGATTGTTCATAACTGAATATAATGAAAAAAGTGATGACAGTAACAGTAAATCAATATTTTTTATTCCTCTCCAAACATAAAATTCCCAATATTAATCAAATGTATCTTAAATGGGTTTTCTTATAAACTTTTATTACTTAAACACGTTAACTACATTAAGATATTTACAATTATGATAGAAGAATAATGTAAAATAAAATGGCAAACAATATTTACCCACAAATACACATAGTCATATATATATATATATATATCAAACTTGTTGCAATAATGATTATAATAACAACATTATCATTGTAAATTTTTAGAACAGTAATACATGTACTATTTATTTAATATAATTGATTTTTCTTACATTGCAAAATAATTTATACTTGTACCTCATTACAACAAGTTTAATTGATGAAGTACTAGCTTTATTATACAGACAACTATTCTACATGTTAAAAATTTTCAAATGAATTATTATTAATATTTGTTTATTTTTATTTACTTTCTTCATAGTTTAAACCTATCGGCGATAAATAACTTTTTCCATTATCTTCGTATTTCTTTTTTGGTGCAGTATTCCGCGGTTGTTAACATTTGGCAATGTGACAACCTATCTCCATTCACACTTTGAAAAAGATTTCCTACCGCCAACCTCCTTATGTACATAATTATGTCAGAAAAATGATCTTGGGGGTCAAAACATCCCATTTAGGAAGATCGCTAGTGCATTCACGTGATTTACAATGGTGCAGTTTCTCTTTTCAACCATTTAAATGAAATACTTTGTGGTTGGGTGAACTGTACGGTTGTATCAAAAATCTTCCTATGATATTCATTGATCTGTTCTCTTTCTCTTTTATCTAACATCTTTACATCGATTAGTTTTCTACAATATGGCACTAGTGTAATATTTTCAAAACATAAAAACTTTTTATCTCCGAATCTCATCTCTGGTTTTACTACTTCTACTAATAAATCGTTTTCAATTCTAATACCATACTCACCGTCTTTATAATAACCAGGCTCATTACTAATGATATTACCAGCTTGTAATGGATACTTAATCGAGGTTGGTTTGGTACCAATACCAATAGGTCCCTCATGAACATTCAACATAGCACCAATACCATGACCAGTACCATGTCTGTAATCCAAACCTTGTTCCCATAAATATTGTCTGGCAATAACATCTATTTGATAACCGTTAGTTCCCTCTGGGAATATTAATCTTTCCAAAGCCAAATTACCTTTCAAAACTAAGGTATAGTTTTTGATCTCTTCTTCAGTTGGTTTATCTAGATGGATGGTTCTAGTGATATCGGTGGTACCTTCTAAAAATTGGGAACCAGAATCACATAGGTAAATTTTTTGTGGGTTTATCATCGAAGAGTTTTCCTTTGGTGGTTTATAATGAATAACAGCTGCATTAGCACCAGTAGAAGAGATTGTGTCGAAAGAATTACCAATAAAAGTCTTCTTGGTCTTTCTAATTTCAGTTAATTTTTCTGCTGCTGTATATTCATCTATCAATGCTTCATGTTGAATCAACCTATCTTCTAACCAGGCAAAATATTGAGTTAAACATACTGAATCTAGTACTTGTGCTCTATGGGCATTAGCTATTTCAGTCACGTTTTTTACAGATTTAAGTACATCGACTGGAGAATGAAGCATTTTGTAAGTTTTCTTTGAAACTTCTCTAATCAATTGCCAGGATGAGTTATCTGGGACAATGAAAGTTGTAGCGTCATTAGTCGCCTCAGTAACAAAGCCAGATAATGATTCCCAAAATTGATCATAAGGCTTGACCACAATCCTGTTTGATTCGAAATATTGTTTGATTTTGTCATCATATTTAGAATCTGTAAATAAAATAGTTTCGTCTGATTGATCGTCAATTAACAAATAAGCATAAAAAACAGGGTTAAAATCAATTTCAGAGCCACGCAAGTTTAGCAACCAACAGATTTCATCTAATGCAACAGTTACAAAGTAATTTTTGATTTTACTGTCATCATTGGATTTTTTTGAAGAAGATAACTTTTTCAAGATACGAGAACGTTTTGAAGAAAATTCTTCACCATGGTAGCTTTCATCTAATAAAATCAAATCATTTGATGGTCTTGATGGGACCGGTTCGAAATCTCCCCAAATTTTATCTATTAGATTCTCTGTAATTGGTACTAATTGGATATAGTCACTTGAATTACCGTTGATACTATTTTCTGATAACATTTTCTCTAGAGTCGATTTGAAATTCAAAACTTGTTCATAGGTGATTAACTTTGGATCGATACCAATCTTTAAAGGTTTTTTATTTGATTTCAAACCTAAACCTTTTAACATTTCGATGGCTTCATTACAACACCATTGTTGCCAATTTAATTTATCTTCACCTTGTCTTAACAAAGCCCAGTTATAATCTAATTCCTGTAAAGCTTGATTGAAATAACGCCCATCAGTCGATAGGATAGACTTACCAGTAGGTTCTTTTTCATCATTAAAATTTAATAAATCTCTAGTGATACAAGCAATACCAGCAGAACCAGTAAAGCCAGAGATGAAACTTCTTCTTTCATCCTTTTCGGAAACATATTCACTTTGATGAGAGTCTTCACTTGGTACAATGTAACAACATAAATCGTTTGATCTCATTTCATTACGCAAATGTAACAATCTTTCAGTAGTATTAACCTCCTTAAAATTCTTACATAAGGTGTCACTTGAATAAACACTTTCATTTGAAGCAGATAATTGATTATTAGCACTACTATGGGCTCTTCTTCTCGTATTTTCATACTGTCTAAAGAAAATGCTTGATCTTTTACCATGTCTTGATAATAAACCAGGAGAACAAGTACAATCATCACAAGGCCTAAAAGGTCTATTACCTCTAACACTTGAACTTGAAGGTGGGACACCTCCAGCCATTGCCATTCTCGAAGATTGAGCAGTTGACATATTGGGTTTGATAATAGTATTATTCCTTACCTGCAGTTGATCCAGAGTCTTTTATTATTATATATATATTGGAAAGCTTAAAGCAACTTAAAATTCGATATATACAAATTTAAGTTGAAATAATTAATAATTAATACTTTACGTTTGATCCAAATTAATTAAAAAATAAGCAAGTGATCCTAATTACTATTCAAGAGATATCGAGTTGACCAAATTAAATTAACCAAGTCCATTCGAAACTTTATATTCGAAATTCGAAATTCGAAATTGGATTTTTTTTGGATTTTAATTTTTTCCATTATTGAATTCTCCCACTTTGCGGTGAAGTTAAAAGTTTAGTAATCGATTAGTACAAGAAACGAATATAGGTATTAGAGTAGAGTAAGAGTAAGAGTATGGTTGGTTATAGATGGGGGAAAAGGGGCGGTACGAGAGACATGGTTGATATGATTGTGAAGTTGATTGTTATGTTTTGATCTGTATTGTCAGAGAGAGAGAGAGAGAGAGCAATAATAAGTCTGTAATCCAATATTATTATGCACACCCTTTTATTATGTCAATTTCCTACCATGCATATGCGTGGTAGTGCTGGTGGCGATGGTAATAAGCATTTGATTAGTGGTTTGGACTATTGTATTTAGGATTGCAGTCTAACTAACTATCTATCTAGTTAGTTCGTAAGTTAGTTTGCTGTTATGAGCTGAGTTGAGCTTTTGTTATTATCAGAGTGTCCCTTTTCCTAACCCCCGGGGGCAGAGAAACACGCGCAGAGTAAAATTGGGTGCATATTACTAGCAAAGAGATGCGGTGTGCGGCGTTACCAAACACACAAGCCCATGTACATGAGCACTGTATCAATACATGTTATGTATATGTATGGTTAAAAAAAGACGTCATCTACAGTTGGTCATGTGTTTTTTTTGAGTTTGAGTTTGTAACGCTTCTGTCTAGTCTTGGTCTGTTAACACCTACACAATGAAATAGAATAAACCCCATATACAATCCCCTTCCTAATAGAATTTTCACATTCATCCCCATCCAACAGACACAGGCTAGCGGCTAAATTTCCGATGCTTCCTATCTATGCGGTGTATGACAGCAAAAGAAAAGAATAAATTAGTAAATCCATTTTTGTGTCATATCTTATCTTATCTTATCTATTTTATTTTTGAAAGATTGGCATAACACACCACCATGCTCTACCGCACCCCATCTTATATAAATAGCCCACTTTTAATCGTTTTAGCCTTTCCATTTCTTTCATCACTTTCTTTTCCTCCTGTCAACTTAATTCAGATTCAGATTCAGATTGGGATTGTTCTGTCTTGCCCTTTTCCCGTCTTGATTCAAATGTATTGAAATTTTATTTCGTATCCAGATCTTGCTCAGGCTCTGTCGTTACATATACTTGAATTCCAACTCCTCTCTGTTCTGGTTACTTTTGTTTTTCTGACTACTTGTTTTTCTATTTAACAGGGTGAGTGTCCCTCTTAAGAACTGCTTTTCCTTTTCCTTTCCCTTCTTCTTCTTCCTTTTTCTTTGGCGTACGTAATACGTATGTATAATGAATGAATGAATGAACAAATCGATAAATGACAAGGAGGAAAATTAAAGTAGAATAGAACAGGACAGTGCACGGCAGAGCATATGAAGGGCAACGGAAGAGAAAAAAATAAAATAAATTATTAAATATCAAAGTTTTAGTTTTCATTAATTAGCAAATAAATATATGTATGTATACTTATCTTTATTATACGCTATTTCTTACTGTTAGGCTTTTGTTTAAACATACTTTATTAGTTTTAAATTTTTGTATGATTCTTTAAATTTCGAAAAACTAAATTTATTAAATAGATTACAAAACTAAATTGTGCTTACTTGTTTATTACTACTACTACCACCATATATACAATACACACTGTTGTGTTTAAGAGTAATTAACTGCATTTCACCTTTAAGCAAACTTACCCACGAATTTAAAAGAAGGTAATCATTCAGTTCAAGCCATTACCGTTCAATTCAATTCAATTCAATTCAGTTCAGTTCAGTTCAGTTCAGTTCAGTTCAGTTCAGTTCAGTTCAGTTCAATCCACTTTAGCTCAAATTTTAATTTAAGAGATCAGTTGTATATATACATCCAAAGAAAGAAAATAAAGTAGCTAAATTTGTCATAGTTAATAAAGAGTTTTGATATTTTCAACCTCTAACTCATCATTTATTACTTTCTCCTTTTCAATTGTGCCTTTTCATTTCCCTAAGTATCAATTTGTAATTACAAGTACTAATTAACCCTTTTTTTGTGTTTGTTGTTAATTTTTGTTTCATCCATTCAATTAATATCATAATATTCTTTGCTATCCAAATTTTATTATCACTACAACGTTATTTATTTAATACTAGACATTCTGAAAATTATTTCTATTTTATGTATATACCAAGTCAAGTTACTCAACTATAGGTTTAAAAATAAAAAAGAAAGAAGAAGAAGAAGAAGAAGAAGAAGAGGAAGTTAAAAAAAGAAGAAAACACAAACAGAGCTTTAACATTTAAACTGCTTACTAAGATTAACTTCTAAATTACAGAATCTATACCCTGTCCACATTATGAATGGTTTAGAAGATGAAAAATTTCTTTATAAATTAAGATTTCAAAAATTCTCAGAGTCTCACACTCTTTACGTTTTATTTCTATCCTTAATAGCAATTTTACAATTTATTTCAATTGCATTTTTCTGTAAAGGTTTCCTTTTAACAAGGAATGTTCTAGATAACGTCAATAATTTAAACCCTTCAGACTTGAACCAAGATTATACCAAAAAATTCGATAAAGCTGTAATATTAATAATTGATGCATTAAGATTCGATTTCGTTATCCCTGTAAACTCAACAGATCCACTTCATAATCAAAATTATCATAATAATATAATCACTTTATATGACCAATTCATTTCACAAAATAATAATAAAGACCATAGTTCAATTTTGCTGAAATTTATTGCAGACCCACCAACTACAACGTTACAAAGACTGAAAGGTTTAACTACAGGTTCACTACCAACTTTCATTGATGCTGGTACAAATTTTGACGGTAGTGTCATCGAAGAAGATAATTTAATTAAACAATTGTACTTGAAAAATGAAGAAATTTATTTTGTGGGTGATGACACTTGGGACTCTCTTTTCAACCCTTTCTTATCAAATCATAGTAAACCTTTCGAATCGTTAAACGTTTGGGATCTGGATACTGTTGATAATGGTGTAATCTCTTATTTTAACGATCATCTAATTAACCAAAAGACAAATGATAAAAAATGGGATATACTTATTGGACATATGCTAGGTGTTGACCATGTTGGTCATAAATATGGTCCAAATCATTTTACTATGCGTGAGAAACAATTACAAGTAAATAATTTCATCAATGACATAATCGAATCAATTGATGATGACACTTTATTGGTGATTATGGGTGATCATGGTATGGATCACACTGGTAATCACGGTGGTGATTCAAAAGATGAATTAGAAAGTACTCTGTTTATGTATTCTAAAAAGACAGACGTTTGGGAATTGGGAGATCCAAATAATTATAATATAGAAAATTCGGGTGACAACTACAGATCTGTAAATCAAATCGATTTAGTGCCTACTTTATCATTATTATTAGATGTACCAATTCCATTTAACAACTTAGGCTGGCCAATCAATGAAATTTCAAAAAATCAGAATGAAAGGAATATTTTTGAGCAACTAACATTAAAACAATTGAAAAATTATCAGGAAGTTAGTGGATTAGTTGTTAATAATACTGAAAAATATTTTCACTTAGAACAATTATACCAAGATTCTTTAATCGATTCTAGCAAAGCAACAATTTTCCAAAACGATTTATTAGAATTATGTAAGGATCTGTGGGCTAGGTTTGATTATATAAGTATCACGACTGGTATTATATTTTTAACATTTTCTTTGATTATTCTAATCTTAACTACAAAATTAATCCCTTCAATTGTGGTTAGCCAATTAGTCCCATCCTTTGTACCATTAATCTTCATTATGATATTGGTATCAAACTTATGTATACATAGTTTGAATTATGTCTTTCAATATTCATTTTTCTATGATGATTTCTGGTGGTCTTTATTTGCAACAGCACTAGGTATCGTAATTGGTTGTTTTGTTCCAATTTTGGATAGATACACAATCAAATGGTTAATTTTCAGATTTTTCGGAGAATTATCAGATTATTGGTCCAGGGTAGGTGCATTCTTCTTAATATTGCATGCTTTATTGTTTACATCAAATTCGTTCACAATTTGGGAAGATAAAATTGTTGGCTATTTTGTGATCTCAATTGCAATTTTGACATTATACGAATTTACATTTGTGCCAAAAAGACAATCTACCAGTGCATTATTAACTGGTGTCGTAAATGAAGATGAATCCGAGGAAGATGCTAATAACATCCAACTAATTAAGGAATCAGATTCACTACCATTATCCAAAGGATCCCGTCTACTAGGTGTTTATTATTCTATTGTTTTGATTGTTTGTACAAGATTGGCGTCTACCATAACAATCTGTAGAGAAGAGCAAGGTGATTATTGTATTCCAACATTTACAACAAAAAACAACTATTCGCAACTTACTCTATGTGTTTCACTGGTTCTAATGTTATTAACACCTTCCTCAATTAAAGGTTACTACAAACTAACTTCGTCTTTCCAAGGTGCAGCACCGATCTGGATCAGCTATTTCTTAAGATTCTTCTTATTGATGAATGCAGGATACTGGGGGTTAACTACTATAGAAAATATGCTTGAAAATCCCGAGTTGGATTTATTATTTGTGAAATTGACACTTGCCAGGACGTTGTTGGGTTTTTCATTAATTGCATTAAATGTAGGTTGGTTTATGGGCCCACTTTGTATCGATGTTCAAATTGATCAAAAAATTGATTCCTCTGAAAACCAAGCAACTATAATGGGTTATAATAACATATATGGTTCTCAGTATTTTTTGTTTATTTTGAATTTATTCATGTGTATCATGATCTTTAACAAACCAATGGCACAAATATCTCTATATTTGATGTTAAATCAAATACTAGCGGTAATTGAAATTATCGACCTATTCAAATTAAAAGAAAATATAATTGGCCCATTCACGTTAAGTTTGATTTCGTACCAACAATTTTTCAGTACTGGCCATGAAGCCACAATTCCATCAGTTCAGTGGGATGTTGGTTTTATAATAACAGATAGGATCACATTCCCATTTACACATATAGGTATCTTTTTAAATACCTTTGGACCACATATATTAGTTTCGTTATCGGTGGGATTACTAACACTATGGAGACAATCACCTGCAATTTTAAAACCGCAAACTCTACTTGGAAGAATTGTCTCAAATGGCGGCTGTTTACTAATTTACAATACCGTGTTATGTTTAAGCTCTTTTGTGTGGGTTACACATTTCCGTAGACATCTAATGGTATGGAAGATTTTTTGTCCAAGATTTCTATTTGCCTGTTTAAGTCTAATATCTACTCAATTATTTGTGACACTAATCACAATTGCATTTGCAAGTGGAACTCTAATACGACAAATCAACAAGTTGTTTTGGGCTTAATTAAGTTAACAAGTTAACATCATTAATAAAGGACAAAAACCCCCAGATAGAATATTTGTCACGAAAAATCATATGCATAGTTATAGTCAAATCATTTATCTCCCATTTCCTAATGAAGACTATGACCAAGTTACAAAACCATTTTCCTGCCATCCATTTTTTTTACAATAATTAATTAATCAATCAGAAATAATATATAGAAGTACAAAATAAATTGGAGTATAAGAATAATGTATGTAAGGAATGAAGATCAATCCCTACTCTAACATCTATAATCCTGTATACCAGATTCTTTTTGAAACCATGTATTACTACCTTGGCTGTGGTATCTTATTCTTCTCATCTTGAGGTACAATTCAACTCCGTTAGATCTCGGTATCTCTCTGATTCGAGATACCACGTGACTACAAAGTCCATTCCGGGTTCTGCAATGATGTAACT